GTTCTACTGAAACGCCATAAGTAGAACATTTGTAGAAAATAAAGACCAAGCGTAAGTGTGGTCAGGGCCTAATGTTAGCCTGGTTAACTGACCTCAAAACGTGTACGCGCTCATAGTCGCCCGTTAAGGCAGCCAAAACAGGACAGTTTCGGAAAGTCTAATAAGGTTATAGTTTGATTTTAGTTGAGCACTAATCCAATAGTTTTTTCTTCTGGAGCGTACTTGCTCGGGGATTGCACGGTTCAATCTAACCCAGTGCCTACTGGGCGTAAGTGGGGGAGTTAAGCTATAACTAGTCAATTCTTGCATGCAGCGAATAAAACAGCTAACAAGGTTGGCTAGCGTCACGACGTTAATGCGCCGTCCGCTACCTCGGCTTGATCGAACTGACAGTGGAGCGAATAGTGAAGGTTATTGGATAAATGGACACCGATGGAGAATCCGACGGACATGAGATCATGGTGGACCTAGAAATAAAATTCAGTGAAGAGTAGATTTCGGTGTAAATTAGAGCTGAGTTGCGCGGTATAAAAGAAGTAGATGGATCGAAAAGCAGGCAAGTTTCGGAAACAAAAAGACTGGCACAGCTGGTTCTCGGTTCTGATCGTCAGCCATGCAGGTTGATTTATTTGTTCGTCCGTTTCTCTTCTTAACAAAGGTCGAAAGTACTACTAACTGCGGTGTAGAGGGCATGAGGGTAGGGAAGAAAATTCGAAAGCAAATTGGGGCCTGCAGTTTAATTTCACCTACCCTGACAGGAGGCGGTGGCACCTGTTTAAAGACGGCACTTGGTGTGGAGGCGTAGAGGACACTGGGGTAGCTGGGGCTTGAGCCGATGATGTGATCAAGGTCCCGTTCACCGTCGCCCCCCGCACCATTGGTGCGGAAAGAGGGTCGTGTTGTGCGCTGCGGCGAATACTGGGACTGCGTTAGACCATCTAGGAAAAAATTCACAAACGTTGGAAATAGTTCTGAACTCAGCCGGCAATTCAAAATGAGATAAACATTACTATGTGAGGACGTGATCATCTCTAGACCATTAATACCTCCACTTGTTGCAATTTCAATATCCATCAAGTGAAACCGCCATTGGCACAGTGGTGTCGGCAGGCCAAAAAGGCGCGCTTGTAGAGCGGCTGGGTAAAGCGAATACCATAATCGCCCGTATCAACAAAAATAATCACAAACAAAGGTACTACTGCTGCTGATTCTCAGTCCAACAAACCTAATTAGACAAATGTCAGCTGAGGTGTAGATAGGCAATAATGCTTCCATTTTCAGAAGTGATAAGTCACCGGACACAGCTGAAAGTAATCTACGACAGGCAGAAGGTGTGTATATCTCTCCGAATAGGTTAGATTGATGAGTGGACCTTCTGCACGCCAAGATTAGCGGCAAATATAACAACTGATCAACATCACTCCATCATTGGCGCAGGCTACCAGGATATATTTTCCCCCAACAATCAGGCGATTGCCAGACGTGAAAGATGGGTTCCACGTACGACTATTGCCGATGAATTTGGCAGCCACCAACTAGGCATTTAAACTACATCCTATAAGTACGGCAATCTCTGTGCACCCACTACTTCTATCTGTTGCCGTCTCTGATGACGTGTTCGGGTAAAAATCCGAAACGGCAGCCGAAAGAACTGCTGTTTTGGTGATCGCGTCTCCTTCTCTGCGCCTGCCTCCTGGAACT